TGAAAAGCTCCCACACAGCTTTCCGAATTATCAAACCTCCTATATTGCAGTGCTCATGGGCTGTAAGAGGTTTAAAGTTGCTTGCTTTAGGGTTCGAGGACTCGAGGTTTAGGGCTCCGAATATCAGATGAAAAGGGACTCTGAAAGCCAAGCCGGGTTTAGGGTTTTGGGTTTATGGTATAAGGTTTCGGGTTTAGGGTTAAGGCAGTTTGAAATAAGTTAGGGGTCAAGCGTTCGTTTGGGCTTCGGGCTGGTGCAGTGCGGCGCGGATTGCCCAGAGCGGGGTACATGGATGTGGCTTTGCAGTTTGTGATTCGACTTGGGGGCTTTGCCAATGTCGACCTGTTATCCCAGAATTTCCCGCTCAAAGAATCTCTTGAAAAGAAGCCTTAAAGGAACCCTTGTGGTACCCTGCTATCACCCCGTAGAGCAATTAATCCTCTTTCGGTACTTGTGTCTATCTCCAGCTGTCTTGTTGCCCTTACAGTACCCCTTATAGTAATCTCTTCGGTTTCCATAAAGGGGTTTTCGACAATACGGGACCCTATAATAGTAGGATCCTTATTACAAGGACCCTAAAACAAGGTAACCCCTTAATTTTCGGAATCTCCCATGTGCACTACCTCTGGATCCGAAAACGTACCGTTTTGAGGGCACTATTATGGAATTAGGTCCCCAAAACCATGTCCATAATGGTAGTAAATATTTAATATGGACCCTTTGGGTATGTTAAATCTACCGAAACTCTACGTTTTGTGTCGGTTCTGAACAGAAAGCCTGAAGTGGAACCTACGAATGTTTAGGGACCCTACACAAGTATAAAGTAGGCTACGGTAGCAAGACGTAGACGCCGAGAGCTGAAACCCGATGCCATCAACCAGCGGATGCACCCATGTAAACTCCTCTCGCAGCCTTGCACAGCCCTTACATAACCGCACAAAACCCTGTAAACCTTTGCAAAAACCGTCACAAACCTCCTAAGGCGCTTAACCAGAAAGCACTAGCTTATCGCGTTCGAAAGCTTGGGCCACACATTTCCGAGCATCGCAGGTACCGACCAGCCGGCAGGCACTCGCTCAAGTGTTCCTACTGGTTCCTTTAAGATTCCCCAAACACCTGCTCATTAAGAAGGTTCTGTGAGGGTCACTAGAAGGCTTCTACACGTAGGGCTCTATAGTAGTGTCCATGTTTTTGCTTAGAGATTTAGGCGGTGAGGATTCAGACTCTCGGTTGCGATATTGGGTTTCGAGTTGAGAGTTTATACAGGGTTAACTACCCTATCCCCCCAAGGACCTCATAGTTAGGGCCCTAGACCCCTTAAGGACCCCATGATAAGGTTCCTGGAGGCATAGGTTAAGAGTTTGCGATGTCGAATTTGGGTTGGCGTTTAGGGTTCCACGTATGCAGTTGCTAAGAGGTTCGACCCTGGAGCTTCTTCTACAGTAGGGGTCGGAATGACCAGTTATACGGTTGATGATATAAATCCTGCATGACCCATAATAAGGAATACATATATTCCTTATGATGGGTAATGCAGGATTTATGTCATCAACCGTAGTATCCCCATCCTTGCTACGAGCGTACAATATTCCCCAAAGCCGCAGTCTTCGTAAGAAGGGTTCCTTTCGGGAGCCTTTCTTCAGGTGTTTCCCTGAGGATTCGGGGGTGCAGAGTTCAAGGTTGGTGGGGGATGGGTTTAGGGATTCAGGGGCCTGGCTTCGCAGGTTTCAGGATTTCAGATGTTTAGGGTTCGTTCGCTTGCGGTCGTGGGGGCATCCACGATCATGCAGGTGGGGTTCATCGGTACTTCTGTCGAAGTCCGAGTCGGTGTGTGCCGGGCTTGGTCAGGCATTTGGGTGGTTTTCAAAATTAGGGTCCCTTCTTGGCTCATCATTATTATATTACGGCACCTAATATTTAGGGTACCCCAAAAAGGGACCCTAATTTTGACAACCACCCATTTGTGGCGTAGGCTGCGGTCTTGGCTATTTAGTTACCATACGCCTGCGACGATTTTCGGGGGGAACTTGCAGGCTCAGGGGGCATAATACTTGAAGCTTGAGCCTAAGGACTCAGATTTTAAGGCTTTTGGGCCCCAAGACCATACTATATTGGCTTTTGGGCTATGTTGAGCCTTAAAGCTTTAGGCATTTGTAATGGAGGCTTCAGTTCGAGAGTTCAGGACTGAGTGGCGCTGCAGACTGCAGGTGTCACTCCTAAGCGGTTCATTAGGGTTTAGGGCTTAGGGTTTAGGGTTTAGGGTTTAGGGTTTAGGGCTTAGGGTTTAGGGTTTAGGGCTTAGGGTTTAGGGTTTAGGAAAGTTCGTCGCATTGTTTGGTTTGCATAGGCTTGCAAGTGTTTGTTCAGGCATCTATTCACCTGAAAACGAAACTTCCGAAACCCGAAGGGGATCCCTAAATCCTAAACCCTTAACCCCCCAAACCCCAAACCCACCCCCAAACGGTGCTTCGAAACTGACAACAACGCAGCAAGTGAAACCCTGTCAAAGGAACCGCAGACTGATTATTAAGGCTCTGCCTTAACCCCACGTAACCTACCTTTTTAGGGACTTATATAAAGAAATCATATTAGGGAACCCTAAAAAAGGTAGGTTCCTTAGGGTCCAGGTGACATTTCACTCTGAAGTCGAAATTAACATAGGGGCCTTCATAGTTAATTGCCTATACTATTTAGGGAACTTATTATAGTTATAGTACAATGGGCCCCAAAATCCTATTCTAATTGCCCGTTGGGCAGGCAAGAACTCAATGCCCGACCCGACTGCCTTTTCCCGGCAGCGCAAACTCTCACGAAACGAACTGTCAGATGCTACCTGATCTGTGAAAAGAATCTGTTCAACTCTAAGCTATTCTGAGAGAAATGAGTCTGGAGCCCTAGCAACTGGACCAAACCGGACCTGAATGCCCTGACTCCATGCCTTTGAGCAGCATGCTCTGCACACGAACTGCATGCCTGCACATCCACAGTCACTCCCCCAACGAACATTTGCTTCGTTCCATGCTGTTGTGCAGGACAAAATGCCCTGAAGCATGGGGTGCTTCGCGCACTGCTGTCCATGTTTTCAAAGCCTCACTGGCTTCCACAGAACTTACACCTGCGGCGAGCACAAACCTCTTGGTGAGGGTCCAAAGCAGGGCAGTCACGGCTCACATGAACCCTTTTTCCCCAGCGATTAAAGTAGATCGTATCTTGCTTTGGAAATCCCTCCCCTCTGTTGCATACAAAACAAGTCTGACGCCTGCGAATGTCCGAAGACTTGCTAGCTGCTGGACACTCCAGAGACCTGTGAAAGCAATCTCCGTTCTTCGTGAAGATCACATTGACCCCCGGCTCATCTGCACTGCAACTATGAATGTCCATCTTCTTGAACCCGCGAGGTCGGATAATCCTATCGATCATAATTCGAGACCCCGCGCGTGTGGGATACTCAACAAACCCATCTGCTCGCACAATTGGACGCTCTTGATCTAGATCTCTACCAGACCCACTGACCTGAACATCGAACTGAGCGTCGCCACTTGACCCGCTGGGCCTTTCAACTTTATCACTAGACCCTGTAGGGATACTCGGGAGTCCTAAACCACAAGGTCCTACTTGGGAAACTCCTGGCTCCACTTCGGGTGCCTTCACAAAGGTCCTATGGGATCCTAAACCCGTAGGGGGGCCTACCGGGGCTTGCACCGGCTCAACTTCCGATGCTTCCGCACGGGTCCTACTGAGATCTAAACCCTTAGGGGGGCCTACAGGGAATTGCACAGGCCTCTCCGCAGAGGCTTCCGCACAGGTCCTATGGGGCCCTAAACCTTTAGGGGGGCCTACACGGGGTTGCGCAGACTCCATCGCGGAGACTTCAACACGGGTCCTATGAGGCTCTAAACCTTTAGGGGGGCCTACAGTGGATTCACATGTTTTCTGCTGTCCCCTCTGACGCAAGCCCTCCTTGATATCATCTTCGGAGCTTCTTTTCAGAACCTCAACCCTCTCATGCTGAGCACAATCTTCTCCCTGAAACTGTGTCCGAACAGTCACATTCACAACTGGCGAAAATTGAAGAGGCCCTTCCGAAACATGCCGGTCAGAATAACTGCTCTTCTCAGCAACCTTCTGCCCTTGAGTTGTAGGAGTAGTGGGAGTACATTCAGCTGAAATCTGATGCCTGTGGGTATTGCACTTGCACAACCACATGCACCCAATAGCGCCTACAGCCCCAACCAAAATGCAGCCTACAGAAATCATACCCAGCAACAGCCAAAGTTCCATAGTCCCATCAGATTCCTGAGCAGCGTCCTGCCAAGCTTGAGCCGACTGGACCGAAGCAGCAAGGCTCACTGCCGTCAGGCTCCTGCCGGTGCCCTGCGATCCTGCAGAACTTGAGCCGCGACCCCTAGGCATGCCTGAATCTGTAGTCCACTGACCTATTGAACTGGCTTCGTCACCGCTATCCGAATCTTCACCTAGCTCAACTTCATCGTCGGCATACACAAAACGATTGCCAAAGTTCTCAGGGTAAGGATAGTTAGGAGGCAACGGAACCGTGGGAGCACGAGCCAACTCTATCATGTCACCAGGCGGAAACCCTACAGGCCTCTGCACATACAGTGGTTCCATATCTGAAGCCGTAGCATATGCACTCGCTGCGTCATACTGTCCTTGTCCGCTAGGAAACCTCACCTCCGGTGATCCACTTCTGTCTACTGGTCCTGGCAGCACCTCCAACGCTTCACTTGAACCCACAATGTCACCCGACCCTCTAGACAAACCCTGAAGTTCCGGAAAAGCCCTCTCGCAGAAGTCCTCGTAACATGTAGATTCTCCCACATCCCTCTCAATCGACCCTGAAGGAACCCCCAATCCGACGTGCTGTGCAGCCTGGGTCCCACGCTCCCCCGCTTCCAAGCGGCTCTGAACCTCTGATCCTTCAGTTTGAGTCCATCCTTCAACACCACTGGTCCCTACTGGGGGTCCTCGGAACTCCATGACTACTGGGCGCCTGCGACAACATCGATCGAGCAACCTACCCAATCTGGACGCAAGCATCCACCCACAGCCTATCCCGAACCCAACAATGAAGCTTCGCCACAAGGTCACTAGATCATCCATCCCTGCGTAGACTGATTCCGCTTTGACAGCCGAGATTTGCAGCAGCACCAACAGTGCTAACAGCGCCTTCGACACATCACTAGGAGTTCCTTGCATTGCAGCTACTTGAGGCCTAGGCGGATCATTCGACAGTTCAAGATGAGGAGCCCATAACCCACACACCCTAATCAAGTCTTCCAGTCTCGCGGGTCCTACTGCTTTTGTCCCCAGGTCCGCTGGCATGTAAGCCCCATCTAGATGCGCTAACTTCCAGGAGTCGTTTTCTAAGTCCTGTCGAACCACCGCACCGCGCAATCGCAAATGGCGTGTACGCCACGACCCTGATTCCAGAACACACAATTGAATTGCCGCAGAATTATCACAGTATAACCTGCAATCCACCTGGTCCTCTTGAGCGTTCATCAGAGCTGCGACCGTTGGTCTCATGGCCTTCCCCAACAAGTGCGCTTCTGCCAACGAGTACAATTCGCTTTCAGCAGTATGGGACGCTATGAGAGTCTGCCTGCACGAGGCCCAGAATATCAGCGCTCCTCCCCAACACAGCTGAATACAGCCGTAACTACGGCTTTTCTCATCCGCAGCGAAAGAGGCATCCGAGTATGCTTCTAGACTTGTCCTCGTCTCCTGAAACTTAAGCTGGTCCCACCTTCCACACTGTCCTGTTGGTGGCACATAATGAAGACCGACTCCTGGAGCATGCCTAAGGTACCTGATCAAGTGTTCTGCGCGAGCAACCGCCTCACCCGGAGATGGCACTATTCTCTGAGCAGCAAGATTCACAGCATAAGCAATGTCAGGACGGGTCCTCCCCGCTAGCCAGAGCAACTGTCCAATCAATGATTGTGCACGTTTCGTCCACTCCAGCTGTTCCGAACGATCCACCGGTTCCTCACTTTCAACAGTCTTGACAGCTGGTGTACGTTCCACACCCGGGATTGTGTCTTGGTACTGTTCTAGGATATCCTTGGTGTAGCTCTCCTGATGAAGACGAATCCCTTGACTGGTTTTTTCCAGCTCGAAGCCTGCAAACTTCAAGCAATCTCCTTCCTCCGACACCCAGTCCGGGGTTGACAATTCCCAATTTGATTCCAGTCCGCGAACTACAGCTTGGGCAACGTCCTTTTCCGACGCAACTAAGATATCGTCCACATACAAGGCTATAATCCCGAGGCACTGTCCTCCTGCTTCACCGGCTTCCTTCTCAGGATCTCTGCCCTCCCGTGGATACTTGAGAATCTGCCAGAGATTGGCGTCCTCCTTTAGCTTTCGAAGCCTCAAGATGCCATCACCATACTCAATCCGAAGATCCGTCATCACCCGGTCTCTATGAAGGCTCCACGAGCGCGGCGCCGAGTTCAGACCATAAAGAGCTTTCTTGACTTTCCAGTACTTGGTAGCAGTAACACCCGCTTCCCTTAATATGCTCGGAACTTTAACGACTGTGACCTTCTCCTTACCATCCTTCTGCATTTCCATAAGCGGCGCCTGGAGAAAAGCTGTTTTCACATCAACCGAGACCAGATGCCAAGATGGTTCCAGAGTACACTTGCGGATCATCATTCGAATGGACTCCGCACCAGCCCCACTCGCAAAAAGATCTGCCTTCTGAGTGCTGCCATCGTTGTCACAGAAGTTGCCACATCCCACCATTCTCGCCCTACGACGTCCAGTGGATTTCCAAACATACACCATTTTTCCTGGAATCAGTTCCACATGCACGCCTGGATCCGCCACCAGCTTGTGATACTGGTCGTCTGTCAAGTCTTCAACTGCTTCAGTCTTCTGAACTAACGACTCTACCTCCTCCCCCATAGATCCACGCCACTTACCAAGCTCACGTCGAACTTGGTCCTGCGCTACAATCTTCGACTGAAGAGGTGGTGGATCATCATCGTCCATTTGAACAGCCTTTAGACTCCCGGATCCCAGCATGCACTCCTCGCTCTTCCTGTCTAACTGGCAGGCCTCAGCCTCCACCTCATTGTCCACACACAGTTCAATACTTTTAAGAATTGGACCCTCGGAGGACAACAGCAGACTATCTTCTAATCCCTTCATCCTCTGAAGCTCTTGCTCCAAACCCTGAACTTCGTCAAGCCACTGAGCCTCACAACTGCAACACTGGCCATCTACTTCCTCAGACTGCCCATCCAACAAGCTGCACATGGCCCTATGCACCTCAGCCAACTCCTGCATCTCATCAGCTACGTTGACACACATAGGCCAATCCACTCGCTCCAGTGTGTAGCAGCTATCCCCAACATCCGACGAATGACACGGACGCAGTGGTTTGATGCAATCTGGCACCTGGTACATCTTGACATCCTGAGAGTCATCATCCCACTCAAAGTCTGAGCACCCTACAGCTTCACCAGAAACCGAAGCATCCACTTCCCCATGGCCCTTATGAGCCTCACCTGAGCAGGTATCCGCCTCATCACCTTGAAGCTTCATGTAAAGCGCCCGAAGTTCCGCAACAAGGCAAGCTATGTACACACCAGCTGAACACCACTCAGGAAACTCTTCGCTAACAGTAGCCTTGGGTCGCGGAGGTGGAAGAATCTCAAGACCTTTCACAAGAAGATTTTCGCCAATGCAAGTTTGCCTATCTTGCTGGCGCGATTGAGTCCGCTGCACAGCTGACTGCATTACAGGCGATCCCGTACAACTTCCCCCCCGAGAGCAATTCCCTCCTGAAGCCTCGCCCGTGTCACCAATCAACCCTGAGCCACAACTCTCGTTCAACACCTTCCGCACGCTCTTCAACCGAAATCTCGAAGCAAATCTAACCCCCCAGCTACAAAGCGGAGCTGGCGAAATGTCCCTCCGCAGACCTGATGACTCATGGTTCCCTCTAGCACGGCTTCTACCTGTTGTACCTGCACCAGATTTCACAGTCCCAGTTTCACATACACCTTGTGGACTCCTTCCTCGCTGTCTGGCCGGTTGCGGCACTAACTCAGGGGAACCTATACAGCTACTTGTTGCCTGATCCGTTTTGTATCCCTGCGGCTGCTCCCCATTGGCAGCCTGCATACAGCCTGTAGCTTGTGGTGGCGCGATTGAGTCCGCTGCCCACCCGACTGCATCACATGCCGGACACCAAACCATCGACAACCTTTCACCCTCATGTGGAACCTCTACCACCCCTGGCGTTGAAGCGGCTAAGTTCCTTTCAGACATCACCCCTGAGACCTTGCCAGACCCTAGCACTGAGTCTTTAGTGCCACAGCCTTGGTTCCCATCCCCAGGTTCACCTCGCTTGAAGCTTGCTTTTGCCCCAATCTTAACCTCAGAATTTGCATCGAAATTTGCATCGAAATTTGCCTCAGGAGGATCCCCCCCCCCAGACCGACCGTTGTCTGGGTCACTGAGATGCAAAGGGAAAGCAGACCACCCCGTCCATTTACTGGCCGGCGCCCGGCCTCGGCCCTTGCGCCAGCACTGGAATGAGCGAACCGGTTCTTGGCCCTGAAACTGTTGCAGGCACAATCTCAAGTCTCCGAAGCACGACCGCGGAAACGGAAGCCAATCTTGATCCGACGGGACAAACATCTGACGACGAGGGACAGGATGATACCGAACCAAAGTGTTTGAAGACGTCTTGAAGCCCCAGTACTCTGATTTGGTTCCCGGCAAATACGTGAATCCCGTTTCCCATAGTCGCTTCCTCTCAGGCTCTTTTAGTTTGTGCAGATGGCGAGCTGTGAACCCAAACAGTAGGAGCTGAGGCCCATCACCCTTCTTGGACTCGTGCCATACATGAGGATGGAACACGACCGGCTTGTGTGACTCATACACATAAGTGCGACCCTGAACCTCAGTCCCATTTTCCAGCATCCTAGACTCCGTAACTCCTGGTGTCGGAGCCACTGGATCAAGTCCTGTGCGACTCTGAATCCACAAGCCTCCCCCGGAAGTAACAATGGGCAGGACAATGTTAGCAACCTCCCTTTGATTGTGCAAATCTCGGTGTAGCACATGATCAGTGTTCAATGCCAAACCCACTCCCGCAAACGGCTCATCAGAATGCTTGGCCAGATAGCCACACAGATACCGAGTAATCCATGGGAAATCAGACGTATCACTACGAACCCCAGTCATCCCGCTGAACGTAAAAGCACCACTCATGAAATTGCACTCAAGTTTCCTTGCCTCAAACTCATCCTTGACCACAGCCCTACTATTGGAAGTCACGTGCTTCGACATGGCAACTGCAAGGGACGCCACGTCCTTTGGCTCCCAACTGCCTGCTTCATACAAGGACCTTGCCAAACGCTCTGCTGGATTCTTAGACACAACACCATCCACTGAAGAGCCAAGCTTGCGAACCCTGCCCTTCTCTCGGATCCTAACTGACGGTGCATCCAAATCCAATGGGGTACCTTCGTATTTAAATCGTATCCTGTTGCCATCCATGGAAGGGAAAAGCCTGCTGGTGGTGAACAGCTGGCCCTCGGCCGTTTTCACCACCCACCCCCTCGAAGTTTCCGAAGAGGGACATTTTGTGACAGCCGTGGTAGTTCTCGAACTCCAAACTCCACGCCGCCACGACCTCTGCAAGACTTCAACTTCCGTATTGAAAGGTACTGTCGGCTCACACGGCATCCGCAACTTCTTGCGAGCTTCAGATCGCAAGTGATACGACGCCAATTTCGCCGCCAATGGCCACTCTGAAAGATCATCTTGCCCTGATCCTTCGAGGATCGCCCTCGTTCGATTTTTGATCTTCAATATAGCCCCCTCCGCGCGACCATTGGTCTGGTGTTCCTCTGCCATTGCATATGTATGATGAACTCCGAGCTTTTGACAGAAGGCATCCAATGCGGAGTTCCGGTACTCCTTTCCCCTGTCCGTATGGATACGTTGGACGCTCAACCCGTCTGATATTGCTCGTGCGTACATACGGCTAATGGCACCTGCAACGACTTGTTGCTTCTTCGAATCCACAGCTTCAGTGTATACGAAGTCTATCATCTCCACTTTCGGAAGAAACTGAGTTTTGGCTTCTTCTAACCAATCCTTTCTACTTTTCCGAACTACTGCCTCCCATGTAGCCCAGGAGTCCTTCGACTCAGTAATTTCACGATGTGTAGGCTCAGGGAGTGGTTCCTCCAATTCCATACCCCTTTCTACAAACCATTCCCGATCATCTAGAGATTCCGCAAACTCTTGGAGATCAAGCTGTGGGTCCCTATCCGCCGGTTCATCCACACTTTCCCCTTTTACCGACAGAATAGGAACTGACAGAACTGCAACAATCAGGTATTTGGCAGCGGTGGTATTCTCATCTAGCCCCTTTGGAAATGGTCCGGCCGTATCTATACTCATGCACCAACCCTGTGGGGCAAGGACTTTCCTATGCTGCTTGTGTCTGGCCCCGCCGCGAATGCACTGCTTGCAATCTCTGCGAAATGGCGTGTGATTATTGCGAAGGTGCTCTATGAAACCAGAATCCATCGCTCTGAGTCCCTTCGGCACCTGCTCCGCAAGTGCTCTCGCCAACATGTTAGTCACAGCAATCCAAAGCCCTGGGCTCCACTGAGACCAAGACAACCCCTTACCCCCGACCTTCGGACGAGACTGGAACCCATCATCCCAACAGTCCACAAGCAAAGGATCCGGATACATGTTTGTATAAATGGTGGTTGGCCTTACCTTCTGGTGCCCCAACGGTCCTTGATGAAAGGAGGTAGGTGACAGCTGCAACTCCTTTGATATCGCTTGCCACTCTGGTGTGGCCCAGAACGACGCGTACCCGAGCTCAGGTTTCGTCTGCTCCCTCAGGGCAACACCTACCATACCCCCATCCTCAGGGTCCTCAGGATGTTCCACCAGGCAGTGTGGGGTCGGCTCCTTCAGAGCCTCATTCGAACCCTGCGCCACCAGCATCAGCACCATCATCCTCATCATCAACACGTCATCTATCCTGCGTTGTGCCAGCTCTTGACATGTCAACTCCCCAACACCGTATTCACCAAGACTCTCCCCCCTTACTCGAAGAGGCTTCACACCTGAGCCTTGCTCACCTACTGAGTACCGACACGGCGCAAATGTCCTGCCAGGAGGGGCTCCGATCACTGCACGAACTCTTCCTTTAGCAGCCTGCCTGAGCAAATACTGATAGGTACCTTCCGCCAACAGGTCTTCGGCTGTGTCAACCGGCACATGGATTAGCCCGTGTTTCTCGGACACTCGATCAAAAGCCTTTCTGCCCTCACCACAGAACAGATGAACAACTAGGCCTTTCGCACGCTCAAACTTCCTCCGCATCCTTCTGTTCCATGTGAAAGACTCACCAGCTGGATCTTGCACAGATGCAACCGCCTGCTCCCTCAAATCACTAGGCGTATCCCCAAACACTTTCTCAACCAGCTTCTTTACAGCTGCGTCTGAGTGCACATCCCGACGAACAATCACATCAGCAAGCTCAGCATTACTCAATCCAGCTAAATCCTTCATCAAACAGTGCAGTCGTGCACAACGACTCTCCCCGCGCTGCACCAAAGCCTCATATTCCCCGATAAGTTCCAAGGCCTTCTGCTCAGAGATTTCCGGGCAACCAGTGCTAACATCCGTATCCAATACACCCCGCGAAGGATGCCAAATTCTACAACGAGAAGAATCCCACTCCACCTTGTAGCCAAGAGCTAGCAACGCCCGAACAGAAAGGATCGGACTCACAAACGTCTTGCTCAAAAGCGTCCCTTGGGGATTTACCAACAGCGAGCATTCGCCACATGCTAGTCGGACTACAACACTTGGCATCTCCATTTCATGACTCAGAGCTGTCCTTAAACATGCAGTGGCACCGCCATCTATCAGACCACGCGGCTCGCCTTGTTGAGCTTTACAGAGCACTTCCGTCGCAGAACGAATGTATGGCCTGATCGCCGCAAGCCTCAAGCTTTGAAGCAGCTGGGCTGCCTCTTTTATTGCATCTTCAGAAAGCCCACTAGCTCCCTTCTGTGCTCCTCCCGAACCCTTTGGTCCCTTAGGTGCACCCTGGTTGGGCTTCCCACCCTTCGGCTCACCCCCTGACGGTTTTCCCTTCCCTTTTGGAGTCTCTGTTGCAGCAGGTTTCTGGGCATTACCCCCTCCCGGAGCTGTACACTCAGCCTTCGCATGTGACCCTCCGCATGTCCAGCATTTCCCTGGGCGATCTGCCGAATGAGAGAAGTTACATGTTTTCCCATACTTACACCCGGCATCTGTGACCCACCCTCGACATGGAAGCTTGGATTTGGCTTCGGGCTTCGGCTTCTCGGGAGTTCCCTGGGCCTCGGAACCCTTTTCAGACGACTTGTTTCCACCCTTTCCTTTATCCACTGCTGCTACACGAGGACGCTTCGCTGATGTATCCGGCATTGCAACGGCTAACAGCTCAAACTCAGCTAGGAGAGTAGTTACGTACTCTTCCACGCGCTCATGAGTCGGAACTGTATCCAACTGCAGCTGCATGCGAACACTGTGCATTCGGAAGGACAGTGCAGGATGAGACTGCAACAAGGCATGCACGCTCTTGTCCACGCCTTGCAGTAGCAAAGAGCTATCCGGAACTGAGATCGACATGGTATTAGCACGCTCCAGATGCCTGAACCATTTCTGAAGCCCTCCAACTGCCGACACAGCAGTATCGAACACCTGCAGTGATGTCAGGCCACGCAGCAACTCAGCCCTCTCGTTTAGACCACCTGGTTGATAGATTCTAAGCGTGAGAAACAACAGTCCTACACACGAGACGTTGCGACTGGAAAGGGCTTGTTCATATACAACATTAGGGAGGGCTTTAGAGAGCATAGCAACCCCCCTCGACTCAATCCTGGTGAACATGTCTCCCTGAAGAGTGCTACTTGGCTTCCCGACAATCTTGGCACGATCCAACGGTTTGGCACTCGACCACTGCTGATAGGCATCCTGGGATTCCTTCAAAACCCTCGCCCACCAAATGTTTGCCCTCGGCGCTAGATCGCTCATGAGAGGACCGATCTTATATATCCAGTCGTTGCATCGCATGGCTGGGTTCACCTCAGAACTTGGCGCAGCTAAAACCGGCAACTCCCAATACGTACGATCCCCCGGTACAAAGTCTTTCAGCCCTGAACTAAATTCCAAAAGCCCATCACCCTGACCACTGCCCTGAGCAGCCTGAGTTTCGCCCACTACAGGTGTCCTGGGAGGCGGCCCTGGCGGCAGTCGCGTTCCCCCCGGCGTGGCCGGTGACGCATTAGGATGAGACCCTGACTGAGGCACAATCCTGGAAGGACTCGGCTGAGGTGACCGACTAAACTTCCTTGAGTATCCCTGCCTTACACCAGTCGGAGACCTCTCCGCATTCCTTACGGTCCTACTCGGCCTATCTACAGGAACAGGGGGATGTGGTGGCGGTGGTGGAGGACTACCATCGGCAGTACGAAATGGAGACGCTGCTTGTGGGCTCCACGGGCCCTGAGGTTTTCGCGGCCTCCCTACATTGCACGGAGGCGAAAGCGCAGGTGGCACAAATGTACCTTCAGGCTCTACAGGAGGAGGGGCAACCACGTCACTACTCTCAAGAGCATAGTACTTAGGTGCTTCTGGAGTCAAGATCACCTGACCCTGATGATCATAAACCCCTTCCCTCAACACTCCGTTTATCCAAACCTGTACCTTCCTACCTGCTAACCCACTCCCATCTACATTTCCATCCTGCCGCTGGCGCGATTGGGTCCGCTGCACAGCTGACTGCATCACAGGCTGGACCCTTGGATCCTGATCAGTTCCTTCGGGACTAGGATACATTTGCCTATCTTGCTGGCGCGAGTGAGTCCGCTGCACAGCTGACTGCGTAGCAGGCTGGACCCCAACACTATCCTCAACCTCCATAGGCCTCGACCCCTGAAGATCTAGATCAACCTGAAACCAGGAAGGGTGCACAGCAGACAACTCACCTGGACCTTCTTCCAAGGATAGATTCTGGATGGCACGGGTTGCCTGAAGAAACTTATCCCCTGGCCCAACGCTTGGCATTGCAGTAGGCATAACATCATCTCGGGACTGTTGAACGGAAGCTCGAAGAACGTTATCCCCTGGCCCGGCACTTGGCATTGCGGCTGGCATAGCTTCATCTCGGGATTGCTGGAAGGACGTCCACGGCGGACTGAAGACTCTGGAGCGGCCGGCATTCAGGTCTATACCACCCTGATTACCTATACCTTTCCCAAGCTTAGCCTTACGACCAAGAGCTCCAAACCCTCTTCCCTCAGCTACCTGGGCCAAACTGGGATTCCAGGTTGGCTCAGTGTTCCTTGCTACGCCTGCACTACTCTCGCGACCAGGAACTACATCTTCTACTCGGCTACCCGCTTTCCCGATAGCAGTAGCTCCCTTAGGAACCTCTCTACCGCTCTGGCCCGACTCAGCTGAGCTCCTCGAAGCCACATCTCCGATCTCACGCCTCAGCAGCTCATTCTGATCCATAAGTTGGTGTACCAGCCGTTCCAGGAGTTCCACTCTCCCTTGCGAATCAGACTGCTGTCCCAGCTGGCCTTGAAACAAAGCTTGCAACGGAAGAACTCCGCCCCTTTCAGGTTCACGGCCTTGTCCCCCTGAAGCATGACCCACATCAGGCACCACACCATTGATCAAGACCTCTCCAGAATTCACACCAGGCTGTAGACCCATTTCAGGATTCTGAAATTGTCGTTGATCCCGACCAGCGGTCTGGACCCCGGGAGACTGCTCCTCTCGACCATCCCCTTCTGGAGACGCTACTCCCTCGACAGACTCGAACTCATACTCAGGCTCAAGCCCTTCAACACCGGTCAGCACATCACGCGCTTGCTGCTCAGGCGTCCTCTGTCCAGCACCAGTGTTACCACCATCATCGATGATTCTGGAAGCCTCCTGGAAAAAACTCCTCTCTCCAAGGGATTCCGGTCCGCCTGAGCCCTCCAGGGTGTTCGGATTCAAGAGGGTATCAGGTCTTACATGCCCCTGCTGGTACTGCGGCTCATCAGCAGACCCAGCGGATTCCATGGCGGAGGCGCAGTGTTACGAACCACTTGGGCTCATAACCTGCCCGTTGGGCAGGCAAGAACTCAATGCCCGACCCGACTGCCTTTTCCCGGCAGCGCAAACTCTCACGAAACGAACTGTCAGATGCTACCTGATCTGTGAAAAGAATCTGTTCAACTCTAAGCTATTCTGAGAGAAATGAGTCTGGAGCCCTAGCAACTGGACCAAACCGGACCTGAATGCCCTGACTCCATGCCTTTGAGCAGCATGCTCTGCACACGAACTGCATGCCTGCACATCCACAGTCACTAATAATTGTTAAGGCCCCTATATTACAGCTTTCTTTCAGTGGCTCGGACGTTCTGCTCGCCAGGCACTTCAACAAGCAGTTTTCCGGCGAATGGATGTGGATCAGGCCGCTTTACGGTTTCGGACTCGGGTTCCAAGCGGAATGTTTCATTACTGCAAAATGGGAGTTTCCGAAAATAGGGGTACCTTATTTTGGGGTCCTTATAATAAGGATCCTACTGTCTAGGGTACTATAGTAGGGTCCCCTATTTTCGGAAACTGCCAAATGACGAGCTGTTTGAGAGTTGTTCTCAGGCTTTTGATAAGGGCTTTCTCGCAGGCTTTATGGTTGGTTTTGTGAGTTTTGACAAGAGCTTTACAAGGGCTTACAGCGCTTTGTAGGAGCGTGTCTACAAGGGCTTTCCAGCGTTGTTCCAGGGCTTCGTGTCAGAAAATGCTGGGGTCTACGGTTGAGTAGTTCACATTTTGGTTTCCCGAGGCTTGGAGATTAACGGCTCAGCTCTCCGGTGTAGGGTGTAAGGGGTTGAGGCGGAGACTGCACTGCAAGGGACCGCGCAGACAACAGGCCAAGTCGTAAAGCAACCCCACATCACTGCGCATGGAACCCTAAGCTCTCAAAGGCCTCGGGTGAAGTCCTGAAGCTCTGAGCTCATGAATCCCCTACGTCACGATCTCCTGTTGCTCCATGGCGCTAATTTTCTGATTCTGAGAAGCAGGATGAGTTCTTGAATGGCGTGGAGCTGCACCCTTTCGCCGTTCACACAGGCGGCTGCTGATTTTGGGAGGTCAGGGGCGTGGCTAAGTGGAGTTCAGGAGTATCCATTCAGCACAAACCAGACTCTGGCTACCCTAAGGCCCCAAAGTAGCTCTTTTTTGGGGTTCATATGTAAAATCCTGTAAGGTAATCCCAAAAAGGAACTACTGTGGGGACTCTGGCCAGACTCGTCCTCCGTGCATTTGGCGCGCCAGCAGGAGTCTAAGAAGCCTTCCAGGCCGCCAGAAACTCAAGCCCGAAACTCGAAACCCTAGACAACCGCCATAGAACCCTTATAGAACCCTTACAGTAACCCTTAAATGAACCCTTAAAGGAACCCCTAGACGCCCGAAGCCCGAACCTCTGGAGGCTTCGAAGGGGACGTCCCCACTTGGTTCGAGGAGTGCGATCTCTCAGAAGTCCACCCATGGCAGCTGCAGAGTTGGGCGGGTTTAGGGTTTTAGGGTTTTAGGGTTTAGGGGTTTTAGGGTTTAGTTTAGTGTTTAGTGTTTTAGGGTTTTGGGGCTTGGGGTTTAAGGGTTTTAGGGTTTTAGGGTTTAGGTTTTAGGGTTTAGGGCTTTAGGGTTTTAGGATTTAGGGTTTAAGGGTTTATGGGTTTTTAGGATTTTAGGATTTTAGGGTTTTAGGGTTTAGGGTTTAGGGTTTTAGGGTTTGGGGTTTAAGGTTTAGGGTTTAGGGTTTAGGGCTCAGGGTT